ATGGGGTCTGGAGCAACCTGGTCTAGTGGAAGATGTTCCTGCCCAAGGCAGTGGGTTGGAAGTGGATGAGCTTTGAGGTCCCTCCGGCCCAAACCATCCTGGGATTCTGTGGCTCTGTGAAGTCCTGCTCCAGTGGGAGCTGAGCCCAGCAGGACCCCCAGCCCACGGCTTGAGGCCATCACATGATGCTCCCTCCTGGGCTGTCTAGACTGAGCTGAGTCCCTAGCTGGGACTGGGCAATGCTGATGCCTGAATTTTCAGCCCATGAGAGAAATGCCCGTCCCTGGTAATTGCTCAATGTGCGGGATGAAAAAGATGCCAAGTTCCTGTGCTCGTTCCTTCCGTCAGAGCAAGGAGGGGGAGAGGGAGCTGCCCTTGGGCAGAGCCCATGTCCCTCTTCTCCAGGCTGCTCTCCCATCCCCTGCTCTGCTCAGCTCACATGGAGAGGCTCGGCCACCTCATCTTGGTCTTCCTGTCAGGTAAGAGGAACGTGTGGCTTTGGGTTTCAAGGGAAAGGGTTGACAGGGTAAAGGGCTGGGGCAAAGCTTGGTCTCCACCTGAAGGCTCCTTCCTTGGAGTTTTCTCCTTTCCTTTTATTTACCAAAGGGCCAGTGGTGATCCCAGTGCTCCCAGCTTTCCTCACAGGGATCCTTTTGAGTCAGAACAGGAAACACTGATGAAAGAAGTCCTCTTTTGTGAAATGTGAAATTGCAAAATCCTGTGTGTTTGCATTTGCAGGGCTTTGAATGTAATTTACATATATGTAAATTACCACAGGAGGGTTCAAGAGAAGGGAAACAAAACCCAGTGAAGGGCAGAGCTCTGAACTCTTGGGCACTTGGCTCTTTGCAGCTGGGAGAGGCACAGCCCTTGGAAGTGAGAACCAAGGCACAGGACCCAGGTGGGGCTCCCAGCTCTCTGCCTTCTCTCCCCAGCCACTTTGGAGACCCCAGCTCCCTGCAGCACTGCAGGGAATAGCAACAAACCCAGGCTGTGGGAGCACAGAAACCTGTCCCAAAAATCTGAATGAGTTTGGAAAATGTTCACTATACTTTTTCCAGTAGAACCCAGGAAGGGAGGAGGAACACAAATAGTTTCTGATCTGTCAGCAGAATTGGTTGAGAAGAGAATGACACAACATTTTCCACAGAGAAATCAGGAAATCTTTAAATGATTCCAATCAAGAGGTGTTTTGCTGTGCTGTGGGAATTGTAGGGACTGAGCTGGAGGAAGGAGGGGTCCTCAGGAGAAACAGGAGAGGCAGGCAAAGTGTTCTGGAAGGATTGCACAGGACAGGACAGGACACAGCCTGAGGTAAGTCCTGACTGGAAGAACTGAGTGCAGCAGCGTACTGGGATAAAGACTCGGAGGTGTTGGATACTTGTGGAGCACAGATCTATTTTATGTCTCGTTCTAGTCAAGCTGAAGGAACTTCAGATCTTTTAGTTTATAATTCACTTAGAATTGTTGAAATTATTTTAAGCAGTGTTATTAAAAGCCTCAGCCAGCACAAAGTCCTCACAAGAGCCTATTTTTAAATTTACTTCTGTTTTATCGTTACTTATGGTTTCACAGAAACATTTGCCTCTGAATTTTTTCACTAGAAATAGAGATTTCCACAAATACCACACTGTACTTCTCTCTGGAAGTATTAATAGCTCAGACTGTCCTCTCTGCCATTTCCTGTCACAAAGAGGAATGGAAATTAGAAATAAGGAACCAAGACAATTAAAAAAAGCCAAGCAGCCAAAGACCAGTTGTCAACATGGTTAAAATTCGTAAGATATTAAAAGATAGAGTGGAAAAAAACCTGCTAAATGCCTGGATTTAGAAGTGGGAGTGGGATTCAGGAGCAACCTCCTAGCCAGCACGCAGGACAGTGGTTTGTAGGTGTCAGTGTGATTCCAGCATTTTCCAGGGCAGTGTGGCTTTGCTCTGCCTGTGTAAAGAGCTTCAAAATGGGGATAAAGTTCATGGGCATTTACTGCAAAGGGCCTTTTCTGCAGCAGAGGGTATTCCACAGCCAAATACTGTAAAAGAGCTTCTAAAAATCAGGGCAGCTTGACTGGTGCCAGCTCAACCTACCTGGATGCCCAGCTCCACCTACCTGGATGCCCAGCTCCATGCTCCTCAGGACCAGAGCACGAGGCAAGTTTATATTTAATGCACGAATTCTGATGACAAACTGGGCAGGAGCACAGGGATGACAGAGGTGGGATGTGGTTGAGCTCCAGACAGACTCCAGAGCAGCCACCACAGGGCCAGGAGGGAAGGCAAGGACCAAAGTTTACCCGAGCTTCAGAAAATCTGCAAATATTAAGGAAGCTGAAACCTCCTGCCCTCAGTGCCACCCCAAGAACTGCTGCCTGGCAAGAGCCAAATCACCCACCAGGCACAGGGTCACCACAGACATTTTTCACAACACCTGAGCCAAGACTCTGAGCACACTGATCGTTGATGGGGGAAGCAGACAGGTGACAGCCCTACAGGTGACAGCTGCCATCACTAGAGCTGTAAAGGATGAAAATGATGTTCAGCATCACCACAGTAGTGAGGGATAGACATGAGAGAGACCAGGCTCACCCCTCTCCCCTCCCTCCCTCCCTCCCAGCATCCTGTGCTGCAGAGAACGTCACCGTGGTGTATGGGATGGAGGGGGGCACCATTTCTGTCAACTGCTCCTACGACCCCCAGCAGCAGTGGTGGAGAGAGAAGAGCTGGTGCAGGCAGGTCGATGAGACCAAGTGCCAGCACGTGGTGAGTGCCCCGTCCTTCTGGCTGCCATTCCTGAGGGGCAGGAAAAGCACCACCTCCATCAGGGACAACATCCACGACGGGGTCCTGACGGTCACCATGAGGCGGCTCAGGAAGGAGGATGCTGGGCTGTACCAGTGCAGAACTGATTTCCTGGGGGACACAAAGAGCCTGAGGAAGGTGCAAGTGGAAGTGCTGAGAGGTACGTCCTGGGGTTGAGTTTCACGAGTTCCTACTCGAATTTCAGGGGTGCCTGCAGATGCCAAGGTGTCACCTCAGTAAACATCTACTGTTGTCTCACTCTAAGGAGGTTCTGTGCTGCGTTGCCTCTCTTTATTCCTGATGTAAGCACTGTCACTTCACTGGTACTGGACGTCCAACATGCCATCCATCCCCTTCTTGCTGCCCAGACTGATCTCCTGGCACACAGCCCCATGCCCCACCTCACCTTGGCTATTTGCCCAGCTGGGGCACTGGTGCTGGTGACACCAGTGAACATCACCCAGAGGCACCTGCAGACTAAACTGTTCTGTTTCTATCAGCAGCTGTCCTGGAGACCCAAGTGCCAGAGGAGCCCAGAGCTGTGCAGAGCATCTCCAGGTGAGCCTGAAACTTGTGCTGGGACCTCTAGTCTTCCTAGGACTAAGGCAGTACCTCAGGAGTTTTTTAAAGGTTTGAACCATCTCCCTCATGGTTGTATTTCTGGTTCCCCACAGCTCCCCTCCTGAAGTGGATTTCACTGTTTTCTACATCCTTGCTGGGCTCCTGGTTACCAAGTCCATGGTGGCTTTACTGATCTGTATCGTTGGCATCAGCAGGAAGAACAGAGAAAGAGAGCAGAACCCAAGCCTGAGTGAGCAGCAGGTCCTCCCTTTCACTGCTGACCTCAGGCACAATGGAACTGGCCCCTCCTGGGAGAGCACTCCGTGAGCTGATCCAAAGGGAGTCCATGGAAAAGGAACATCAGGCATTTGCAGGCAAATCTTTGCCATCTGCTGTAAGAAAAGGATCACTACTAAACACAGGTGTGGATGAACCTGTCACTCTGGAGAGGGAATGTCACCATCTACCACCTCTTGTCATTGGCATCACACCCCCAGGCAGAGTTACTCCAGATACCATCCCCAATATCATTCCACCACAGTCTGAACTGAGACCCATCAACATCCTGTCATCTCAGTGCCAGGTGACAGATTCTGTCTTTACGAGGTGAGGAAGACTAATTCCCAAAAGTTGCTCTGGACAGTGTGGATCCTTGGAGTCCCTGTGGAAAGGCATAAGGAACTGCAGGACAGCCCAGAAAGGGATGTGGTCTCCTTGCAGCTCCGAGCCTGCTTCCTCATTTCTGAAAGGACTTGGTGAGCAAATGAACTGTCTCTCTGTAGTTCTCCCCACTCAAGGGGATGTTACCAACATGTGGTGGTTGTTCATCCCTCCCCACAGTGAAGCTGCCTTTAGGCCTCCCAGGCAGACCCCAAACCCAGGGGCATTCACACTTCTTTTCCCTGCAATACTAAATAAAATAAAACTGATTCTCTGACTTAGGATGGATTCATGGTAGTGGGCTGCAGGACACCAGGTCACAGTCATCCCCCAAAGAAGAAGTGACACCTGGAACATGCTGGAGTGTTTACAATGCTCTGAGCCAGCAGGACAGGCTGGCACATCCAGCCACTCAGTGCCACACAGGAGCAGAGCTCAAAGCCCAACCCCTCATTACCCAGAGGAGCTGTGGCTGCCCCATCCCTGGAAGTGTCCAAGGCCAGGTTGGACAGGGCCTGGAGCAACCTGGGATAGTGGAAGGTGACATGGGGAGTGGGTTGAGATGAGCTTTAAGGTCCCTTCAACCCAAACCATTCCATGACTCCATGTAAGTGCAAAGCAGCAGACAGATGAACATTCCCAGCTGAAGGCTGCTCTGGGATGTGTCAGAGCAGCACCAGAGACCAAAGATGCCCATTTCTTGTCCAGCCCCACGGCCTGGTTGCTAAATACGGCTCTCACAGGGTATTGAAAGGGGAAAGGCAGCCAGTGAGCACCATGCAGCCTTCCCTCCCAAGAAATAACTCAGAGATTGTGGTTACAAGATACCCTCCAATTCCAAACTGGCATCACCACTCGGGGCAGCAGCCTCTGAGTGACAGAGTGAGTTTGCTCCTCTGCAGCAGGAACTGTGTGGGGATAAAGAAGCTCCAGGAAATGCTTTTTTCCCTTGGTGCCCTAAACCACTCTCTGCTCCAGGATGGAAGGTTTTCCAGCCCTGCTGCTCTTGCTGGCACTACCAGGTAAGGCTCATAAGAGTGTCTGTGCACAGAGGGAGAGTCCTCCAGAGCCAACAAGAAGTTATGAAGTTATGGGAGAAGAGATAGTGGTGCAAGGGGCTGTCAGAAACGTCCTGTCCAGTCTTAGCCTTGAGCTTCCCTGTGAAAGAAAGGATTAACCTTTTCCACACCCTGCACTGCTCAGGGGACTGATGGACTCTGGACATCGCTGGTTTTCAGTGATCAGGGCAGCACTTCCAAGAGGGAATCTGGCCCTCGGCTGTGGATATCTGCAGAATATTCTTCTGCAGGGAATACAGATGGTGGTTTCACCTGAGGGTGAGCTCTGAGGTCAACGGTGTGCTGGGTGGGAGACAGCCAAAATAAATCAAGAATGATGTGTCATTCCCATTTTTGTTTCACAGCTAAAGATGTTGTACTGGGACACAAAGATCTCATCAGAGGTTATCCAGGACAGGGCAAAACTCTATTACATAGTTCAACACAGAACCATGACAGGTACTTGTGTGTATCAAGAGGCAGAAGTGTCCAGGAAATTATTTTTGCTATATTAAATAAAATGTCTCAAAGGAAAAAAAAAAGAAAATAATCAATAATTTACTGGTTACCATAAAAAACAATGAATGCAATGTTGTAGGATTGTATTAATCAAAACCAAGTGGGTCTGGGACAGAATATATCATAGAATCACAGAATGGTTTGGGTGGGAAGGGACATCAGGGACTGTGCTGACCTTGGCTCTGCCCCTGTGCTGGGGGACGTGGACCCTCCATGAGGGTTGTTTTTTCCTGTCTTCTCCCTCTGATGAATCACCACTCGAGGTTCTTCAGAATTCGTGAGGCTATTTGCAAAAGAAAAGGGAACTCCCTCTCCCTCATCACTCCTTTTCTGTGCAAGACAACACCAGGAAACTCCAGTGTTGTATTTGGTGCAAAACAGTGTCCCAAATTCAAGGTAACTCTGATCAAAGTCTCCTTAAAGCAGGGGGGACTGGAATGATGAATGAGTTCTCATGGAAAATGATTAGAGTGTGGCCGAGAAAGCTCCAGCTTAATGACTCAGGAGAATATCAACTCGAGACCTATTTCCAGGGGAGAAACAAACCACGGAATAGCACCAAGCTGGAAGTTTTGGGTGAGTTAATCAAAGAATTAATGATCTTCCAGAAGTCAGCAATTTTTTACCACTTGACAAGAAAGATTTCAGGTCAGTGTTAAAGAGCTCTGTTTGGAAATTTCCTGAGACACAAGTAATTCCTAAATTTCTTTTTTTTAAACATATTTTTGATACATACTAATGGGATAAACAAATTGGAGCCAACTGGTGTGAGGGAGGCCTGGCTTGGCTTCATTGATTGATGAAGTCTTACATTTACATCAGCAGATGGAACAGGCTCTGAGCAATCCAAATCTTTGCTGGAGAAAAAGTCACCAGTTTTTTAGCAGGAGAAAGAGTCCCCAGGGATGGATTGACATGGGAAAATCACCTGCTCATTGTTTTGTTTTTTTTCAAGAGGAATATAGGTCTTTGGATACAGATTCTGACCCCATTAAAGGGGACATTGCCACAGATGACACCAATAAGGAGCAGAGGTAAAACCAACGACTCCCAGACTCTGGATGCACAGCAGGATTTGAGGAGCAGTGGACACACTGCAGCATGTGCACACAACACAGAGAGACAGCAAGGGTGGTATTTGCGTGCTGAGTTCTTATCCTGGAAACATAATTCATTGTAAAACACACAAAATCCCCTCCCACATTAACCTCATCACCTCTGGTGCTGTAAACAGTAACGGAGATATCCTGGTTTTCCCTGCAGCAGTCTCCATGCCCTTGTGGTGCTGAGCTCCTTCCTGCCCACCACTGCTCTGGTTGCAGCTGTTCTCTTCCTTCTCACCACCTACATCAGAATGAAAAGAGCAGGTGAAGATCCCAAATCCTCCTGTCTGGTTTTCCTGCCCCTCACCTTGTCCTCCCACCACCCTGGATTTAGGGAAGGTCTGTCCACAGCAATCCTTTCCAAGGAGGCAGGGATGAGCTGGGAGCGAATGCGAGGTGTGAGCTGAATCCAGGAAGGGACAGGAGGGAGAGTCAGGTTTAAAATGAACAGGTAAAGGGGGTGTTTCACACTCAAATGGGTTTCTGTGTTCTTGGCAGGAAAAGGGATGGACACTGGCAAACATCCTGCTTTCAGACAGAGAGCACTGCAGGTAAGACACCAGCAGAAATCCCACATTCCCAGTGCTTTGGTTGATCCCTGCCGTGCAGACACTGCTCTGTGTCACCACACAGCAGTTCCATCATCCTGCAGTGGGTGAGAGGCATCCCCTCGAGCTCCCAGACTAAAGCTGCCTGTACTTGTTGGTTGTCTGACATCTTTTTGCCAAGCAGCCACAACCTACCTTGGTTATTTGAGGAAATCCCAGCCTTTCTGCTTAATTTTGCTTATAGTACTCAGAAAAATAAATGTAATAACAAATACACAGTGTTCATAATTTACTGGCCTTGGATCTGCAGTAACATCACCAAAGCTTCTTATCGAAGGAAAACTTTATCATCCTAAATATTCGGTGTGTTGATTGTGGCTGCACTTTTCTACCCCAGTCTCCTCAATCTTAGGAAGTTGAGTTTGCATAGAAGTCTCCTAAACTTCTCTGAGCACACGTTTCCTTTTGCCACACATCCCCTCCCCTCTTCCCCAGCTTCACAAGACAAAAGGGAAATATTCGTGCCTGTAGATGAACTAAGGCTAAATGTTCAGAAGCAAAAAATGCTGAATCTGTTTTTAACTTCTCGTTCTTTGTGGTTTCTCAGCTCAGAGGACACGAAGGGAGTGGGATGGCAGAAGGGGAACTGAGCAGGAGCACAGTCTATGCTGTGATCAGGCCCCAGCTGCAGCCCAGGCCCGAGGATGTTCTGTATGCCAACGTACAGCCTGTTCCCAAGGTTTTCTTCCACCTGCAGGAACCGCCGGGAAGTTCAGCCTCCTCAGGGCCTGTGGAATACGCGACTGTCCTTTTCAGAACCACAGCTCCACATCCTGACACCGCAACAGAGAAAAACAGGTTCACCTGAAGAAAGCAGCACAAAGCCTCAGGCTTGTTCACTGAATTTTGCAGAACTGCACTTAAAATAACACGTTTTTACCCAGCTGCTGAAGGTGGGCGATGGGGTGAGGGGCAGAAGCAACTGAAAGGACACACGTGGGTGCACAAACCTTCCCTGGAAAACAACTGCACTTTTCTAATAGCACAGCATCGTACCCAGCTCTTGGTGGGCAAATCCAGAAGAAAGCTGTGGCATGTTTGCTTTTCCAAATTGCTGGTTTTAAATGACATAGAACTATAAACCCAAATGCAGGAAACTGGTTCTGTCTGGCGGCAGCTGATACAGCACCACGGCCAACAAGGGGCTGTGAGATACGGGAGATGCTTCCTTTGGACTTTCTTCAACAGCTCACTTGAATACTCACAGATAAAGCATTAATTACTGCCCACTCTGATAAGATCCAAGTCAGCAAAGTGGTAAAAATCTGCTTTATTTGAAACACACGAGGTGTTCCCTGGGCTTCAGGGAAACAGACAATGCACTTGACATGTTTTAGTAAACAAGAGGCTTGTTGGAAAATATTTGTCTACTTTATAATATAAACTGTCATCAGCTTGAACATGCAGGGGTGAAATTTACATTCAAAATTATTGATTTGTTTTACAAAGAAATAACTTTGTATTTTCCTGTTTGTTGTTCATTAACACACACCAATGCTCCAGGATAAACCTAGCTTGACTTTATTATAAACTGTTGATCAAACTACAGAACCCTGATATCACAGTGATATGATCAAACATCCCTCAGGGATTATGGATAAATCCCTGAATTCATCTTAATTCTGTGAGCTGGAGCTGAGGATGCTGAATAGAACACAAAAATAGGTTTAAATTTTTGATACTAAGATTGCAAGAAAACTCCAGCCTGGGCACTGGGTGGCAAAGGAGAGAAGGAAGGGGAAAAAGCAAGGAATACACCTATGGACTGTATAAACTCTGTGAGTTATATATCTGCCCGTGAGTGCTTGTGAGATTCTGAGGGTGAGACAGAAGTAAATTCTGTTGACTGCTCTGATGTGGCTAAAAAATATCAGGCTTTTTATAATTATATCTGAGATGATTTTGTTATTCTATTGCAAATTTTATGAAAGCAAAGCTAGAAAATTACATCATAGTAGTTAAAGAAACATATTTCTGGCTTCCCAAACAGCCTTGCATGATTGTTCTCTTCCTGTCCCAGCTTCCCATTCTCTGTTCTTACGTAGTTATTTCCTTTTTTCTTTTTTTTTTTTTTTTACGATCATCACTGTATTGACCAATTCTGGAAAGAACTAATGACACTCACCCTTGTGCTTTGGCGCATTTTTAAGATGGCAGAAGTGTTGGTGTGGGGTCGATACCGTTAAGTATTTCCAATACTGTAGAGAACGTGCCATTCCAATCCTGTGGAGAGCTCTGGAGCAGCACTTGTGGAAGAGCAGTGCATCCAGAGGGATCACAGGCAGGCATGGAAACTGTCTCCTAAAGCGCCAAGACAGTGGGGTCAGACTGAGGGGAGACGAACGCCAAGATGGCGGGATGGGGCTGAGGGGAGA